CCATGGGAACACCACCCCCACTCCTTATCGCGTGTACCGGCTACCTAACCTTGCCGAACGGGGCACCCTTCCCTCTTATCGCGCTCCAACCCCTCTCCCGCCCTTGCTTCGTCTCGCTCCCGCGATCTTACCATTCTTCTTCTCCTCTCTGTCTTACTTTTCCTCCCTTTTTCTCTGTTCCTCCCTTTCGAGTCTCCTCCGACGACCCCACCAGACGTCGCGCGACTCCCACGTCAGACTAGAAACGCGGGCATCCCCTAACCGACCCCCTCTTTTCGCGTTCGTCTCTCTCCGTCTGGATCGCGGGCGAAGCGGCTGGCGTGCAAGGGGCGCGACGAGGACACGCAGCGTTCGGCGGATGAAGACGAGAGCGGGACGTGCCGCGCGGGGAGATGGAGCGGAGAGAGAGCCGGTATTGATTTTAATGACGCCCCTACCGACGCGAATTCACGAACAGGCGCGAATAATATCTACGCGCTCTGATTCCGGGACTTCGGGCTCGGACGGTTTATGGGCACGCGTGAAGCCGCGCCGTGGATTCGCGTTCGATCTAGCTGGACGTTCGCATCGATCGACGGTGATGCGAATGTTTAATCGGAGTATTGCGATGTCTTGGCGGATTGAATATTCAGTAGAGCATCGAATGCATAAGACGTTTTTTCTGGATGTTCACGTTAGAACGATTCGTTAGGTGTTCTGAGGATCGGAAACTTGAGAACTTTGCTTGGTGGATATAAAAAGTGACGATTTCTAATAAAGCGTTAAGTGAAAGGAATTGCATCACTGTCTGTTAGAAGTGACAAGGTTGAATGTTTAGTACATTTAGTATCTTCTTATTAAAGAGAAGATTCTAATTGGAGGATTGTAGTACAGGGTAACCAACCGCTAAAACCGTCAAATTAACGCAGGTTATTATCTGTGAATCCATCATCATACATAATGCCTGACAAAACGCCGCCACCTACCGAGGGGAACCCGATCGCCGTCCACCCCGATATTCAAATACAATGTTCCGTCACAGGTGCATAGAAGGGTTGGTGAAAAAAGTCAGCCGGTATTTATGTGCGGCGCGCGTGCCAGAGGGTTTAAGGCACTTGCCGAAAATCGAGAGGCTCGTCGGGGCCCACTCGAAGGGTTGCTCGAGCCCTATATACATAACCAAGACCCTAATCTGAATAAAGCGAACCCTTTCACCCGGGACCCTTTTTGCTCTCTCCTTTTTTATTCATCGCGTGCAGGTATTTGCATGACCCGAGAGCTCGGTGTTGCAGGTGGCCGTTCGTTCCCCTTTTTTCTTCATTCACGGTTGAATGGGGGAAGCGAACCTGTACGAGCGAAAGGGTAACAGCGCGTATGGAAATACGGGTGGCGTGATAGCTCGCCATTTGCTCCCTCCGCGGGTCCGTTGATAGATCCTTAACGCGGTGTATCGTCGTGTGTTGATTCAGCAGAAAGGCGCAGCTGAGTGTGAACGGCCGCTGCTACAGGTGAAATCATTTCTGCGCCGTTTAATCCAACCTCACGTGCCTCGCAGCCGATAATTTGCGCTCGTAAAATTATGCGTTCACTTCTTTGTAGTTAATATTTCCACGTACGCGGCGCGACGTTCCGCGAAACTGTAACGCGCGAACCCCTTTGACCTTCCATGAATTAACCCTCATGAATTTTTCATCGTTTTCATTTTCCTTCGCGCGCGAGCACCTCTCCTTCGTCCCTCTCTACGCCGTTCGTTCCGGTTTTCGGTTCGCGCGCCGGTTTCGTACCAAGACACCCGATATAGAGAGGGAACGACGACTCGCCGCCCCTCGTGACCCCGTGACCCTCTCACAAAACCCGACGACCTGTCTATACGCTGGTACACGTGAATTGCAGGCTACCATTCGGCCACCTGCGGCTCCTGACATCTCAAGCAGCGTCGGTAGTGACCGACCGAACACCTCTCTTTGCACGCGTGAACACACTCTTTGACAAAGGTGCATTATCCCTCGCCCTCGGCTTCCCGGAGAACCTGTTTGCAAGCGCGCCGCGTATAACCGCGACCACGCTTTATATTCCCTCCTCCCCCCCGCGCCGACCAGTCACAACATCGTCGACGATCGCGGCAGAGAAATAATCGCGCGGAATGACTTCCAATCGCGAAATCTAATTTGCGTTGTTTACGATAATATTCG